TTTTTTTTGTCTTGGTTGGAGAACAACTTGATGGGTCGAATGCAGTCCTATAATCCTTGATTGGTTCTGGTATAGAAAGTAAAAGTAGCTAATAGTACTTATTTTCACCTTTTCTAGTTCATAAATGAGATACTCCAAAAAGGTACATTTGTACGTGATCTTGGCTCAGGACAAGAAACAGTCAACTTAGAGGACACAAAAGGTACTAATCTTGCAAACAAACTTTAGCTTTTAGTTGTAATTCTTTATTGTTGTGCAGTTTGACATGGAAAGTTGTACACAAGATGTGTAAAACTGTGGTGTGTACTTTGTGGTTCTGGTCAGAAGATACATCCATATGTGATACCTACCCCTGAAGAGACAATTTTTCGAAAGGAGTAAAAATCAGATTACTGTAAAAGAATTTTCAGAAAAGTTGTCTATGGTACAAACAAAAAGCCCTTGTAAAGTGTACATTTTGCTATGACAGCCAAATTTCTTAAAGTTAAATCTGCACTGGTTTTATCTTTTAGAGTTTAAATTGTTTTTGGAAAACCATAAAGAGTATTGGGCTCTAAAGCAAAGAGAAGCAGATGAAAGGTACATGGAGTTAGCACAAGGCCAGGTGCCAGTTAATGAGCCAAAGCAGAAAAAGAGGAAGAAATCGAAGAAAGAAATGCTACCAGAACACACCAGGGATGATACTTTTTCAACATATGCAGCTGAGCTTCAAATTCAGTTTTTTGTGAAGGTAAACTATTATTATGAGACAAACGGCATTTGAAGTTCAGATTTCAAATACAGCTGTACTACCCTGTATGTTACAGGCAGTTTTAAAATTTTTGACCAGTGAGTGCCATTTTAAGCAAAGCTAATCAATATGTGAGCCTGAAGACCTCCTTTAATTTGTTCTCAGAAGTAGTCACAGTTTGGGAAAGGAACGTGATGCTGCTAAGATTTCAGTTACCATTTAAGCATCAAAAAGGGATTGAAATTATTATCACCATTCCCTTTAGTCTGATTTGTCAAGCCTGATCCATTCTGTTAGTGATTGAAATAGTAAAATCAGATGTTAATTAGCCTTCACTTATACAAGTTTTCTAAGGTGGAAATGCCAGCTTTTTTTAAGGCCAATCATGAGCAAAAGCTCATTTTAACTGTACTCTTTAAATGTCTAAATATTTCAAATTGTCCAGTCTACTTAAAAATGTGTTTACCCTATTCTTTATGAGGTACCAACATTCTCAGTCTTCCTGAGCAGCTTTCTACTGCCTATGACCTACACTCCTATAGATACTCAGCCACAAAAGCATGGGATAGCCTACCTGGCAATTTGAGAATACTCCTGAATCTCCATGATTTTAAATGTTATATCAGCCAACTAAATTTTAAATTGTGATCAGCTGTAAACATGTACATGTCTGTATAGTAGGGAGTGGGAGTTAATTATTAGCATAGGACATTTATCTTCTTGGAGATATTAGTGTTTATGGCTACTCCGTAAATCAAAGGTGAAATAAAGTTTATGTGTGTATGTATGTAGGAGAAGTACCTAAACATACATGTACAAGTAGACATCTACAAATCTCTTATCGTAGCAATAATGATTTATTTCAGATCTGCAGGTATGCCTGCATGCCCCTCTGTAAAAAAACCATTTGCATGGCTCTGGTCTTCAACTGAATAATAACCCTGCCAAATATTAATTTCAGGTCTGTTGTGATTGGAGAGACATTGCCCTTACCATACGTGATAAAGTATTTAAT